AAAGAATTAAATACTGGTCATTCTTTCTCTTGGAAGAAGAATATTGCCGTCAGTCTAACCCCCATTGAGGATATCCCTGCCTTCTGAGGCTGGGCTGCAGGAAAATCAGTTTTGCAACATTTTTACAAAGGTGTCTGTTTGTTGATGTAAAAACCCATTCAGAAACAAATCCTCTGGCCCCACTTTTTTTTTTTCTTTTCTTTTTTTTTTTTTTTTTTTTTTCCGAGACAGGGTTTCTCTGTGGCTTTGGAGCCTGTCCTGGAACTAGCTCTGTAGACCAGGCTGGTCTCGAACTCACAGAGATCCACCTGCCTCTGCCTCCCGAGTGCTGGGATTAAAGGTGTGTGCCACCAACGCCTGGCTCCCACTTTTTTTTCCCTTTCTTTTCTGGTCCCTTCAATTGTCCCAGCAGTTAAATCTAAAAATCTTGTTTCTTCTTAAAACAAGATTTTTATTCTTAAAGGAGAAAGAATAAAAAGCGGAGGAGGAGTTGATCTGGGGGAAAGGGTAGGTAGAGGGGAAGCTAGGAGGAGAAGTGGGAAGTCAAACTGTGGTGGGGATGCGTTATATGAGGAAAATCTAATTTCAATAAAAATAAAACTAGGGGAAGACAAGAAAACAAGGGCTGGCATAGTCAAATATAAAGTAGGTATATTAGGATTAGATGTACAACAATGAAACACAACTTAAGTCAAGGAACATGACTTAATTTTTCACTAGTTGCAAAGGAGTTGCTCTGTAGTCCTCACTAACATAGTGTTAATTGGCTCTTCTAAGGCACGTGCATTTTATTGCTGCTCTCAGAGCTGGAGATTCCTCCAGGTTTATTGTGTCTTCATTTGGACATGAATGAAGGGCAGTTTTCAGTCTGAGACAAAATAGAGAATTAGCAGCATGAGGAAAAGACAAAAGGGAGGAAACCTTATGTAAGGAGGATTTGTGTTAGGTTACTATGACTACTAAGGACATTTAGATGTCTTTGTATTTAAGTTGTAATGCTATAAGAAATAAGTAACGTATTTGGTCAAAAAGGGGTCTCAAGGAAGCCAAACAGCCTAATTTGATGTGATTTCAATTTCTGAAGTTAGTTGGTGATCCACAGAGAAATATTTTTAGATAAAAGAATTTGTGATTTGGTTTTGAAAATTTGTTAAACATTAAATAATAAAAATTTTGTTAAATATTTTATTTCATAAAACTTGAAAGAAGTTTTAAGTTTGATCTGGCTTCGATGTTTAAAGATGGCAGAGCATCACTTACAGAAATAAACATTAGTGTACCACAGAGTATGCCAGCTACTAATGAATCAATACTGCCTAGACCATAGACACTGACTTAGACATTGAATTATTTAGTCTTACATCATCACTCTGTGAAGCATACGCTACAACCCAGTGTTACTAATAATAAAGAAAAATGTAGAGCTCAGTTTAATTCACCACACTAGAAAGCTGCTAAATGAATTACACCATTGAGACTCATGCAGAGTCTGTTCTAGAGTTGTCCAGGAAGCAAACCACTGACAGGCCAGGAACCCTTAAGAAGCCATGGACTGGAAATGTAGTTAACCTAAATTGATTAAATGTAAGTGGAGCAGGGTTCATAGAAGATTTAGAGGGAAACTTTTACATATCTCTGTGTTATATTGATCCCATACTTTAAAGATAATATTAAAAAAAGTAATGTCCTTAAAATAAATTTCTCATCCCTTAAACATGACAAATTGAACTTTCTGAGAAGGAAATGGGGGAGGATCTCAGCGGGTGTGTCTGTGTGTGAGAGAGAGGCTGAGCAAGGAGGAGTGGAAGAAAGGGAAACAGTTTGGGATGAATTATATGAGAGAATAATCTATTTTCAACAATAATGGATTCTTGATCGGGTGGTGGTGCCCGACTACAGCATTCAAGAGGCAGATGAAGGCAGATCTCTGTGAGTTTAAGGCCAGTCTGTTCTATAAGAGCTAGTTCCAGGACAGACTCCAAAGCTACAGAGAAACATTTTCTCAAAACCAAACAAACAAACAAAAAAATTCTAATGTGGTAAATATTTTTGGTTTATATTACAGTTTCTATTATGTAGTGGCTGCTTTTTTCCCCTTGTTTTATACATTGGGGAATATAATATGGTAGTAAAATGTGTGTGAGTATTTATATAATCACATATACATATTTAAATATTACACATATCTCAGTATTGAGGCTTCAGTGATTGTATGTGGACATATTCAAAGACAATACAGCAATTCCTAAATGATGAATATCTAATAAAATGGTATTACACACTAAAAATCAGTTTTTCACATCCTAGATATCTTATATTACCAAATAATATCCTATTTAGTGTGAAAGATTATCCTTAATTGATACATTGTAAATATTTGTAAGATAAAAATAATCAGTAAACTATATGTTCACTTAAAATTTAAAATTACAAGGTAGGTTACAGGGTATATTGACAGTTTTCAAAATCTATTCTGCTATACATTTGGTGTTGCAAACTGAGATCAACACATAAAATGTTGCTACTCTCAGTGTATTATTTAATCTTGAATCAATTCCTGAATTGAGATTGTAACACTGAGTAATTATTATTTAGGAAAAGACACCAGTAAGTATGGTGTCAAGTAATTTTTTTCATTAGAAAATTACGTGTATTCTTTTTTCAGCTTCTATTAATATCACGACAACTACTCTTGCCATAATTTTGTGTTTTATTTTGTGTAGTAAGCCTAAATTGTGGCAATCATAAATCTTTACTGGATAAAGACAAATAAATGCTTATTAAATGAAGGGCCTAAGAGGAAAACCACATAGTAACAAAGGTTCATTGATCATTTTTAGGCTTAAAATGTCTGATTTTCCAATCAATTATAATCTATAAATTACTTTATTAAATGTTCCACTCAAAAACAAGCCATTTAAATTTCCTGAGAATTTTAAATGTAATACTACTCGAAATTCCCATTCAAACAAACAAACAAAAAAAACAACCTTTGAAGCAGTTATTTTGCTTATTTCTGGTTATGGAATTAGTTATACATAGTTCATTCCCCTCGATTCCTATGTTCATTCTCTTAGACTTTTTTATTTTAGTTTATGTGTGTGAAGTTTAGTCTGCATGTAGGTATGTGTAACACATGCCTGCCTGGTGTTCTCAGAGTCTTGAAGAAGGCAGCAGATTCCCTGAGACTGGAATCATGGACTGTTGTGAGCCACCATGGAGGTGCTGCTCAAAGCCCAGACGCGCTGGAGGAGCAACAAGGGCTCCTAATGGCTGAACTCTCCAGCTCTAAATGTTCATCTTGATAATGGATTCAAGAGGAACGTTCAAGAATACATGTGAGATGTGAAATTAAAATTTTATATTGTATTAAATTCTTTTCATATTACCAAAACATTCAAAGAGATATTGAGGATTACTGTAGCTTTCCTTCTCTTTGATCAATAACACAAATAGCATTGGTTGAAATATAACTATTTGAAAAGTGTGGACATGGATGTCTTTTTTTCTCCCTATGCTTAAGGATAAAAACAAAAATCAAACACCCATTCTTAAAACCCCATTCTGATTGGCATGTAAGTTAAATGACTAAAAATAATCCATATATATGATACAAACATATAAACTCACACATATACACACACATGATATATTCAGACAAGCAAGTTCAAATAATTCTGATTTTATAATTCTTTCCACATGCAGTTTAAAACAAATTAACCCTAATCATGAAGGGCTGACAAGAAAATCTAGGATAACAGTATAGAAAGAATTACAATTCTTCTTATAAAGGGTAAAATTACACTGCAATATTAAAATTCTTTCCAGGCAATCATCTTGCATAAAGCTAAAAATACCATAAAAAACATTTTATAATTCATAATTTATTTTTCTCATGAAAAGATTAAGTAGAAGGCAAAAAGTCAAATGTGATCAACCTTGATGCTGATATCCAGAAACTGATGAGAATTAAGAACAGAGACCAGGATCAGCACTAAAGACGTGTACACGCAGGTGACAGGGAACGGATCAGCAAGTTATATTCGTATGTTAATTACCTTCTTTGTGTGTGAGAAAACGATGCTGAAAGAAGAGGAGGCCTTGAATTTAGGGGTTTTTTTTTTGTATATGGCAGAGAAGAACAAAGTTATGGAAGAGGGAGAAATGATAAAATTACATTTGCAATTTTTTTAAAATTAAAAGTAATAGACTAGAGATGACACTATAATGCGCTTTTTATGGTTGATTCATTTCAACTCTCTGTTCTGTCTTGCAGTGGGGACCTAGTGAAACAGAAGGAATCCCGCAGAGTCCTGAGAGCACAGTAGCATAGCTGCCATCATATCTGTGCTGCACACATAATAATCTACCAGGTTTTATGAGAGAATAAAGAGATGTGTTAATCATACGATATATGGTCAGAAGAGAATGTCTTTTAATGGATTCTTAATTGATCCTGGATATTTGGAGAATTAAATAAAAATGCATTTAACTAATGTGGACCCAGGAAAAACTACCCACACATGTGATTGAAAATGTAATTCAAGTTCTGCCTGCCTTGCCACTTATAATGGAGTCTTTATGATTAGATGTTTTATTAAAATTTTATCTTCAAGTTAGGATCTCCCTTATTAGTATCTAAGTAGAGAAAAATATTCGTTATATATTATTAGCTTTTAAAATGAACACATTCATTTTGCTGGATTAAACAGTTATTAGGTATTAGCTACCCACTGTGTGTATGGGTATGTATCTGTGTATGCGTGTGCATGTGTGTGTGAGAGAGAGAGGAAGTGAGAGGAACAGAGAGACAGAGAGAGGTAGTAGAGATGCAAAGTCCCCCGTTCTGTAAGAGGTATTTGTAAAGTATTTAGTTTTACCTTATGCTGGTAGTTTGGTAGTAGGCTATCACCATCTTTTCCTTAGCTGATAGGTATCTTAAGTGAACTTTTTTACTCTGGATGTTATGTTCTACAGAATGACTGTTAAAGGGCACTTACTCTGAGGGAAGCGAGGTGGGTTGTCATTGACATCTGTTAGTGTGATGTTCACCGTGGTGGTACCGGATAAACCCCCCATCTGGCCACCCATGTCCTTGGCCTGTATGACCACCTGGTACTGTTCCCTGTTCTCTCGGTTCATGTTTGGTAAAGCTGTCCTGATGATACCTTTGAAAAAAAATACAAATGCTGTGTTATCACACTATGTTTGCAGGCTGCCAATTTAATCAAGTACCATACTTATGACATCAACTTATACATATGTAACCATTCTAACATTAAATTCACACAGATCTTTGGAGTTCGTTTTGTTTTCTATCGCCCGGTAACCTCATGTGGACTATAGTGATCTAAGCTTACAAGTAAAGTCTAAGTTACATTTCTATTCGTTCAATCCATTGTTTACTTTGAGTTTTTAAATACACAAGAATCAGACTGGGGACACATTAAAGGAGTGAAGTGCTTCCGATGCAAACATGAAGGCCCAGTTTTAATCCCCAACCTCCAGATAATGACAGTAAGGGCCTGCCAACTCAGCTCTTGCAGGGCACTACAGAATGGTTTCTGGGATTTAATGGGCAGGTTATTTAGCCAAATTGTTGGGGTTCAAGTTCAATGGAAGACCTTGTTAAAAAGAAACACATATATCTACTGAAAAGTACACTTGATGCCCCACTATGACCTCCATATACAGCTACACAAATGTGCATATATTATATATTATATATATATAAATACACAGAAAATAAAAATCCAGCATGGCCCTGCTGTTACTCTCCTGAGTGTGTGAATACTTAGGTTTTATTTTTGTTCACCCATTTATACTTGTAAAGATCACAAACAGGGTAACTTCAGCAAACACCAATACATTGTTTCTGACCTGTTTCTGGCTCCACAGAGAAATAAGGCTGCCCTTGAAGGATGCTGTATATGACTCTGGCGCTGTTCCCGTAGGAAGGGTCGTCAGCATCGGTAGCTGTGACTTGCACCACAGAAGTACCTGAAGTATCCAAATTCAGCTTAGTTCTGCACAGTACCAGAAGGAGGAGCAAAAGTGCTGGTTTTCATTGAAGACTTGAATGATTTCTGACTTTAAAAATGACCACTTTAAGAAACTATACGTTTGGACGATAGATATATAAATAAAGGTATATAATGTTGGAAATGAATCTTAAGTTCAACTTAAGATTATTTAGCCAAGAGGTGTACGTTTATGCACCAAATAGATAATTTTGCAGTATTTCAGAATATAACAAACATTGTTCCTTTATAAATATTGAGGTCGATATTAACATGAATTTTCATATAATAGACTTGTTTTGTATAAAGGGCACATCTAAATCTCAAAGGAATAAGTATATTCTTTCTCCCTCTGCTCTAATTAGCTCTAAAAATAACCAACTTCTGCTCTAGAATACAATTTTATGAATAGATTGAATTCCAAATATAGAAACAAACCAAGATGATCCCACGTTCCCAGAACAACTAAAATCTGTCTAGTAGGGTTCATGATATCTGTAAGGACTATATGCTTGGTAACTGTCCAAAGCCTTTGGGGTTTAGCAGAGTGCAATAACACTCACAGAACAAATGTTCTGAGAAATGTATGAGTTTGGTTGCTATTATCAAAACAGCAATGGTTACTATTTAAAAAAAAAAATGCTTTTATTAATCTAAACAAGTCCATACAGAATCGGAACATTTGGTTTTCTATGAAACCAAATATATCTCACTCTAAAAATATTATCAAGATTTCTAGGGGTTTGAATATATTATTATTAACTATGTAATAAAAGTCAAGTATTTTCAACTTCCTACTCAATATATTACACTTAGTAAGATTAAAAATAATTCCATTTTCTTAAAATTGTACTTTTACATTTTATTTTATATATTTCACAATCCAATGTTGTTCTTCTGTATAAAATTTTTGTATGACTATGAGGTTTCAGTGTGATATTTTTTAATATGAGTATATAAGAGCAGATTTTTACTATGTGAATGTTAAAATACAAAGGTATATGAATATTTAAGAAAATAGAAGATATTCTGGCTTTTATTTGAATATGTAAGCAATCTAAGTAAAAGCTTTTGATAAATTGTGATGTGTATACCTAAATAAAACCATATCATATTACTGGTACTCACTGGGGTTATGTAAATATGTGGATTATAGCAGCAGAGTTTTGATACATAAATATTAAAATACAAAGGTATTTCAGTATTTAACAAAATGGGAGTTAATCAAAGTATTAACTTAAGCAAAATCTTTTGATAAACTGAGACAAGAATATATAAGTGAAATTGTATCTTACTGCTGCTACTCTTGCTGTACCAATCTATGGTTTATAGTTCTGACTAACTCTCTACTGGCCTATAGTTGCCTCTTTTCTGTTGGAGGATTTCAAATGTTTTTAAAATATTTTGCTGTTGAGCATGTACATAAATTTTTCCATGTTGCTTCCTGTAAACAACGCAGTATATCAATCACTGAGATAAATAATAGATTTCATGACTAGTTTAACATATGCAGGCAGACATTCATCAGCAGCATATGTACATACTATGCCACTTAAGGGACTGAATATTCAGTATCTGTAGGGGGCTCACATGTGGGCCCTGTGGAGAGTGGGAAACAACTCTAATCCCCAAAATATTTGTCTTCAGGACTTTACAAGCTTGTGCTGAAAGTTCATATGACAAGTGCCATCTTAATTTTCTCTACTGGAATGTACTGGCATATTCTTCATTTTTGAGGTCTACCTAAGTGTGCTGTGCAGATTTGCAAATTCACAAGACATTTAAAATGCATTAATAAACTTTTTCTGTCTCATTGCTTCTGTATTCAAAAATATATGTGTTTTGACTAGGGAATAAAAATGGTGATGTAAGCTAATTGAAGACAATATCACAAGATTTTTTTGCAATTGCTTTCATACTTTTTATACCATCTTAAAAACTGTAACTGCACTTACCTACGACGGACATTTCAGGAACACTAGCAGTATAAATTTCCTCTGGGAATGTTGGCTCATTGTCATTGATATCGTGGATTTTGATCACAAATTCAGACTCTGGTTCTACTGGCCTCAGAGTTCTTCTGTTAATAGCTTGAGCACGTAGAGTATAAAAGGCCTTTTCCTCCCTATCAATTCGTCTTGTGGCATGAATATCACCTGTTTTTTCATCAATAATAAAAAGAGTACCAGCTCCGTCTCCAGATAAAATATATTTGAGCGATCCATCTCCTTTATCTTGGTCTGAATGAAGCTAGAGGAAATAAAAATGAGCATATCTGTGATGATGTCTAAGGAATGGGTGAAAGAATTCAAAGGTGGCCCTTCAAATCCCATCACACATAATGGGGTCAGTAATCTCAATACTATAAATCAGAATTGAGTAACTATCAGTTCTATCACACTCAAACACCGCCAAGAGTTTTTCATGTAGCATTGTGATTCTTTATTCTAAACAGAAAATAATTTCCCACATTAAATTAAGTTCTCTTTTCCTGTTTGGTATATAACTATTTCTTTGAACAAATAAATCCTGATAAAGACATAGCCATGAGGGTATAACAACGTACTTTCAACTATTTCTGGAAATGTTAGGTTATTTTTCTCTCATATTTGACCAGAAATTCAGCTCTTATCCACTTATTATTGGTTGCTTTTTTCTGCTTGGTAATTAGTAACATCTTAGGATTTCTAACTCTTTCAAGCAAACACGAGACAGATTCCAAATGTGGTAACAATAAATGTAATGTTTGGTTTCATATAGAAGATGCCCATTACCATGCAGATATTTGTATATCTTAGAATAGGGAACAGATATTTATGTAATATTAATACATATATGCTAAACAATAATTAAACAATAAATAAATGATAATGTAAAATAGGTCCTAACTTTGTACCTTGCCAAAATATCTTCTTAAAAATCTGCAAAGGACAAAAGAATTCAAGAGAAGATTGTGACTGACTTTCCTGTGTCTATAGAAAAATCACATCAAAACTTTGAGAATTATTTTATCATATTAAGAGATGTATTTGGGATCTTGTGCACAGAACATCCTAGGGAACACATTGTTGCAGCTGAGCTGTGGGTCCAAGAACTTATGTGTACTGAGAAAATTCTATATTTCTATTTTTCAAAGGTATCCCTATAGGAAATCAGCCAGGCTTACAGACACATGGATGAGTAAATTCAGACTTTGAGAGAATAAACTGGAAGTCACTCTAAGACTAATAATTAAATTCTAGGCTGTTGAGTAGTGGAGAGTAATGTATCCTAAGCATCTTCCAGATAATGTGACTGTGTTCCAAGGCAAAATTACTCCATGTCTCCTTGTCATTGGATTCTTAGCTTGTGGAAGAAGCTTGTCCACAGAAAGGACAGAAATTTGGAATAATTATGATTATAACTATGCCTTTAGTTGTACCACAGAACCACTGGTACTGACTATGCCACGATTATAATGTTAATATTGCAATAAAATGCACTTTTTTACTTACTGATCCTTCTCCTTATATGGCTTTTTTATTCTTTAGAAAATGGCCTATGAATTTTATATGAAGGGTAAAGTAGATAATGGGAAAGGAATGTGAGGGTAAGGTGGAGAAGGGCTTGGGGAAGAATATCTAACTCTAAGAATGTATTAAAAGTCACATCAAAATTTGCTTCTTAAAAAACTTTAAACATGTGAATATTTATATAAAAGTGTTTAATTGAAGTTACACTATGTAGGGAATTATGTCCATTTCAGAAGTCCCAGTTTTCCAAATTAAAAGCCTGGTGATAGATATGGATACCTCTCTTCAATTCTGTCAAAACTGTCTTAAAGACTCCCAAGGCGAGAAACAATAAGCATGTTGCTTTTTGTTTTGCATCAGAACTTGATAGGAAAGATCTACTGCTGAAGATCTGCCCCCGCCCCACACACACACATGTAGGACATGGAGAAATCAAGATGATACTGACTGGAAAGCTTCCTCCCAGCTGGCTAGCTCTCATTATTGAGGAACTTGTTTTGCAAGCTTCTGAACAGGAGGAGAGCTAGCAATCGTAGCAAGCTGTGAACCTTGAGAGCTAAAGTAATGACCAGTATGGTGAGATTATACCCTTGGATGCAGTAGTGCATAAACTATGAGGCTACCCAACCATTTTTATGATTGTGTTTAAGACCTGCTCCCAAGAAGGAAACTCATGGCCCTTTTGAAAAATGTACCGAAGAACCCACAGTTGGGGTGCTCATAGGTTCAGGGCGGAACTAACAACTATTAATTTCCAAATGAACACAGTATTAAACTGCCCTCCAAAATCACATTTCTCTAGTCATGGGTTAGTGCAGGTCTCAGACTTCATCTGAAAAACTTTCAGCAGTGGAAGGTGGTTAACAGAGAAAAGCATAACTCACCAAACTGTGGAGAATAAGTGAGAGATGAAGGCTGAGCCAAAGATGAGACATTGTATCTCAACTTCTCCCCAAAGATGAGGTGTATGTATCAACATAGAAGGACCACGTTTTAAATGGCTAGCTAGCAAAGACCAGAGGAAAACAGTGTCTTCTGGATATAGCAGAAACCCTGCACTCATGAATTCATAGCTGCTGTGGTTGCCTGTGCAAAATCTGCCCCAAATCAACCCAGTCAATATTCTGAAATACAGTTGGAAGACATTCGTGAGTCCACACTGTTAACTGAGAAGCTATGAACAGTTAAGGGGAAGTGAGGATTAATCTGGAGGGAGTTAACGTGAGCAGCTAGGGAGAATATGATCATAATACATTGCACCAATACTTAAAAATTTAAACTATTTATGGAAATAATATATAACCACAAATGTTAGACTTTTAATAGTCACATAAGATATCAGCATATATCAAAAGAGCCATGCCACTCTCTATTCTGGATCATTAAAATATAGCAATAACAGTTATTTACACAGATATAGAATGTGAATTATACATTTATTTAAATAAATTGGATTTGCTCTTTAGGTCATTTATATCAAAACACAAGACAGTCAAAGCTAGGAATTTTAATTTGGTTATTTCCCATTTAACACAAAAATGTATTATTCAATGAGGTATTTTTTGTTAATGACAATTATGTATGCTTATTTTATTTTAATGAATGTGAATATTAAAGATTTGCAAGTGCTTATGTCTATGGATATTTGGAGTAAGTGTGCACGCGTGGAAGACAGGACAACATTCTGTGTCTCTCTCTACTGATCTCTACCTCCGTTTTTAAACCTAGAGCTGGCTGCTACAGATACACTGCTAGTTGGGTCAGTCTTGGGGATCCCAGAATTACAAGCTGCCATCCGTGCATTCTACCATTTGAACCTCAGGTCTTCAAGCTTAGAATTGCAGCCACATGACCAACTAAGTCATCTATCTAACCTCCAATTTTATGCTCATATATTGTTATAATGAGCATAAAATAGTCAAACCAAGCAAGAATGAACATACTTACGCATGCTATTGTGCTGCTAGTTCCAGATAGATTTATAAGAGTAGATTTCTTTGTGAAAATGTTTATGCTCATTAGCTTTAGCAATCCCCTCTATATACGACTCTGTTCTTCTTATTCTTGGGCAAATAATGCATTATTAGTGACATAATGGATGTGCATATGTAGGTACTTTAGTGATAAAAAGAAGCTTCAGAACAAAGAGAATTTTACTCTGTATGTAGCTATTTGGACACAACAATATGAGTAAACTCAGGAAGTATTTGTAATTAATCACGAAACTCTCACAAGTCGCATATGAGTGTGTAGTCCAGGAATCACTCTTAAGTAGTCAAGAGATTGATGGTTATTAGCATCCAAAAATGTACTCGGCTGCTCGGAAACACTCCAGTTACATGCACTGCAACACTGTGGTCATCTTCCCTGTGTCACTCTAAGCATTACAGATTTCTTACTCAGTCCCAGAAACACAACAAGCCAATGCTCCTGGTATTATCAATCACCTGACCAGACAGCACTGTGGTTCACAGTAGTCAGTTTCCATTTCTATTAGCTATTCATCCAATAGCTTTAGTTTCAAATTTCCATAAAATCAGGTGCTTTTAAAAGCAAATGAAAAATTCCATCTGTGTTCCATGGAAGACCCAAAGGAGACATGCAAACCATATATGCAGAGAAAACTCTACAGCGCTTGCAGGAGTGAAAGTGGATCTATTAAGCTTGTACTATCTAAGCTATCAGATATAAACTGAATATGGTTTGGGAACTGAAGAAATTCTTTTACAAATTTTGTATCTCAGAACATTCGGTGATGTAGCGTGTAGAAATATACAAGGCAAGAAGTGTTCATAGCATTCCGCTACTCCAGGTTAAGAATGCAAAAGAAAAATCTTCCCAGATTATATATGTGTACATTTATACAGTAGGATTTCAGTCATTTGAAGCAGACTTTAGACTAAAAACCACAGTTGAATGTGTTGTTTTTCTTTTTGCCCTTCACTTAGGCTACAGAAAGTGAAAATCAGCTCTTGTACATGGACCACATGCTGTGGGAGTTTCTGTTGGATTAGAAAATTGAACAAGGTAGCAGCAAAGGTGAAGGAAAAGGTCTGGAAGTCAGACTGTGGTTTTATGAATCTGAGAATGAAAAAAATGTCTACTTTATTCAACAGGAATATAATTAAGAGAAACAAGTGGCAGCTGCAAATGCAGGACTTTACTTGTTAAGAAGCTACAGACAGAATAAGTGTTGCTACAACCATTAGGTTTAACATTAGTGATGAAACAGTGTTTTTTAAAGCTCTGTCTTTTCTTACAGTGAGGAAGGATTCAACACAACTGACTATTACACTGGAATAAAAGATAACGGTGGGAGTGATTAGGGCCTTAATCCTACTGTACTAAATACTGTAATAAAACAGTATTCAAAATACATGAATTAGAGAGACAAGAAATGTAACCAACATTTTGACTGTGATAAACTTTTATATCTCCTGAGATGTGGGTAATTAATCTATTTCATACATAAAACTAATGGGTTACAAGGTCTTTTCTAATTGTTATATTGGTGGCAATGTTTTTATTAGATTCAGAAAGAAAGAAACAACATAATTCTTCAATTTGCTCTTATCAAGTCTTTTTTGTTCAAGTCTCTTTATTATTAGTTTTCATAACAGTTTTATTATTTGTTTCCTTTGACAGAGTTTTTTTTTTATATCAACTATAATTTGTCGTGGAGCAATTTTACATGACATAATGCATACCTACCGCTCTCACTCCCCAACCATCCTTACA